GTGGAGTGTTATTGTCATTCATTTCTATTTCCTCTCTTCCAACACTGGATTTTGTCATTGTGACATGATGACAGGGGAATTACACAAGACACTGTTAAAAGGTGTCAAACAACATGTATTTTGTCTTCAGAGCATACCTGTGATTTAGAGCACTCCTATAGATTCCCGGTTTAACCATAATGTCTGTCACTAATGAAATATTGGTTTGTTGGGTCCTTAGTTGTTGTATTTCTAGTGTGACCAGTGGCCACTGACATGGCTTCTATCCCTCTGTCTTGCCTGCCAGGTGTGTCTGGTTGGCTAATCAAGGGATGTGCCAGTGCCAGAGCGCTTCCCTCTACAGATTGTTTTGTCATTTGGAAGGTTGACGTGCATTTGGAGGACGAAAGCGGGGTCAGCGTTAGTCCCCGAGAATCCATAGAGTCTTAAATATTTTGTAAGTATAGTGTGTGCATTATAGCACTGGTAAACGTTACAATGAGATCTGCTCTCCTTCTCCTTGGGCACGCCAACCTAAAAGTGCAGTGGGTCCTGGCAGAATTATGATGTGACTGCTATGGAAATTGTGTGCGCTTAACATTGAGATGTATCATTGCACATTTCCCTGACACTATAAGATTGTCTGTTGCGCAGAGACCATTGAAAGAAATGGACTATGTTAGAAACTTAAATTATATAATTTTTTTTATATCCTGTGGAGAATAAAACCCAATTTGCACTCGAAGTCACAGCTGAAATACATGTAAATGACGGGATGTAGAGATAAATCAGCGATAAAAACACTCAATACCATGGAGGATTGAGAAGTAGCCCAAAGTCTGACCATACTCTGGTCATACTTGAAATATAGCAATCCATTCTCATGGTCTGGGGAGTTACAGTAGCTGAAGTTGATTGCAAACCAGAGATAGATGAGTAGTAATGAATGAACAATAACCTTTCATCAAGTTTAATTGTGAAGAATTGGAACAGTCATTATGAGCAGCACAAGAATCAATTACAGTGGGCTGGAAGACAAGATGAGGGCTGGAAGACAAGATGAGCGATGTATAGAGCAGGAAATTGGCGGGGAAAGTGTGTCGAAGCAAGAGAAACTGAAAGAGATGGATATAGGTGGAGTGTGTGTCAGAGCGAGAGAAATAGAAAGGGGTGATCTAATCCCTATTGGTTTAATAATAATCCCTAATGCGTTCTGGGAAGACGACAAGACGTAGGACAGGGGTACTGCTTAGTATCACAGGCTAAACCACTACTGTAGAAGGTAAGGCTTCTGACGCACATGTACAGGGTCCCTTCAAAACATACTCTACCAGAGCTGATCCACTGGCCCTTGGCCAATTCTGTATTTTTCCATAATGCATCCCAAATGGCACCCTACTCCCTATATAGTGTACTACATTTGACCATAGAGCATAGAGCTCTGGTTAAAAGTAGTGCATTATGTAGGGAATAGGGTGCCATTTGGCGCAGACCATATCTGTCTTGAGGATTGTTCATATTCTCACAGAGGGACACTGAGATGTTCTCATAAATCTATCACAAACTTTGTCTGGTTTATTCGATGGCTTGTTGCCTTAGTACTAGATACAAGATTTGTTGCCTTAGTACTAGAAACAAGATAAGGGGGGATTTTCACAACACCCTACAGTAACCCCAGAAGCCTGATGATAGATATTTAATATATTACTTCCCTGATGGAAGATAACACTTTTGTTTTTACTTGACCTCAATAACGGATTTGTTGTTAACTTTATCATAATCATTGGTGGTTTACTGTGTTACTGTGGTTTACTGTGTTACTTTAAGTCAATATCTTAAATTATTATAATCATTATTACAATGGCAATGAACACAACATCATTTGTTCATTCATTGAGGTTTTATTGAAAAAACAATATAATAGCATGTACAATAATAATAATAACAATAATATTATTAATAATATAGAAATCTGTACATTCCATTGTTTTGCAGTACAACTGGAAGACTCTGATACAAAATTACTGCAAGAGGAAGGGAGGGGGTCTATGTACAAGTAAAGGAACATTGTAGCCGAATGGCCTTCAGTCAAAGAAATAGGAGATAGATTTGTCATAATCCAAACTCTCTATAGGCTTTCAATACATCTTATTAATATGCCTGGGATACAGTACTGTTGGCTTAGTTTAAACCATGTTTTCCAATCCAAGATTCCCAAGTAAAACAACGAACAACTTATAATGAAAAATAAAATAATATTTGATAACAAGGCATGGCAATCCTTAGGCCTACTCGGGATATAAGAACACATTCATGAACAGCAAAGACATTGATAGGGTATGATAGAGGGGTAGATGCATTGTATATTATAGTCTCCTTATTTAAAGAACCTTTAGGAGAAGATGTGCTCTTTTTGTGATGGCAGAATTGTGGACGACTGTAAAGTACTAAAACGAAACTGATGTTTTGTTGTTTTGCTTAAACATATTTTTAACTGAAAAGGGACTATTGTAACACTTTTGTTATTTTCTGAACATGTACTAACGCCTTCTAAAAAAACAGTTAAAACATATTGCTGATCTAGTCTAGGGCCTAGAACCTGGCTTATATCTTTGGCTTTGAATATGAAAATGACGGTAACACTTTACTGAAAGCCTCATCATAAGAGCCACAAAACTTTGAGTATCATGTCTGTATCACAGTGAGATTGATTAAGTCTTATGCTGAATGAGTTCCAGTTAAGTGCTACGAACATTTCTAAAAGGAGTGTTTGAAAATAAATATTTCCTCTTGATTTTCTTTACTTTCGAAAAATGCTCTACTTCTACCACTAACAAATGGATGAGAAACACAATAATTATTATGATGATAATAATACTCTTTGGCTTCTTCTGTTATCAAACCCTACGAAATGCAACAATGTAGCAGCACTTTTTGAGAACATCTGTATGCTCATTTTCACTCCCCCTTGTCTTGTAGGCGTTAGTTCAGTTCTGCTAAATTTCAACACCAATAGCACCCTGCTCATTTCCTTCACACAAAACAGAAAACAGACATGTTGCTACTGAATTGACCAGCATTGAACGGCCCTTACATCTACAGTATGTTATGTTGTATGTCTGTTATGAGACCAGCTCAAAGAACAAAAGTACATACAGGTTCAAATATCTGCTTCGGATAAGTACTGTATTGAAGTACTAGTTCATATAAAAATGTATCAGATTGATAATTTAGTTTTCTTTTAAAGGATTTGTTCCGCTACTTTACAACGTCTGCATAGTATGTTTTCTCCAATAGGTTAAAGATACTATCGAGCTACATTTCCTTTGATGTAATTAACCAAAGCCTTCAAAGATCACCCAGTTCACTGCAACATGAGGCTCTAGTCAAAAGCAAAATCAGTTGTGCATTCACTAAAAAATTGGTGATCAATTCCAATCTCAGTATAAGGAAAAAAATATTTTTTACATGGCCGAATTGCAGCTTAATTGTTTGGATAAACATTCAATAACTTTAGAGTATTTTAGAGATGGTTGCCGATGATCAATTCAAAAGTGCAAATTAGCAAAATAAAAAATGTCTTTGGTTTTCACTCTGAAAGAGCAGAAATGTCAAAATGTCTCTCTTACTCTATGGGTGGACATCTTTGCATGTTTTTCCCCAGTTCCTCTGAAACGAGAAAGTAGAGAATTTACATATAGCAGCATTTTTCTTTTCAACTAAAAGGCAGTGAATAGAAATAAAAACTATAGTTCTTAAAACCATCTTGTTCGTTATTTGCTGGACAGATGCACAGAGAGACATGCCTGCTATTTTCAAGTCATCATAGCTAACATCCCTTCCAATATGTTAAACAGATGCATGTTCCTGTCTATACATAGACGCTAAAGAGATGCATCATTTTCATTTTCTTGTGGGAACCTTTTTTAAAGAACGTTTTCCTTCATCTATGCACATGTTTCATAGTGCTGTGTTTGTTGTAATATGCAATTACATTGTTTTAAGAAACTCTTACATACAAGTCCCTGGCTAGCCCCTTCCCACAGCAGTACCGTTGGCATGAATCTGTCCTTTACCCAAGGCCCAGCTCAGCTCAATGTGCCTTTTACAACAACAAGAGGTGATTCTAGAATTCTAGAATTCTCTGTGAGGTGGTCTGAAGTCTCTGCACAGTTATATTTCAGATTCTCGCCTCAGGGGCCTGGGCTCTAGTGGCACAGTGGCCTGGTGATGCTCTGAGTCTGGGATATTGTCTGTGTGGGTTACGTCTGGGCCCACGCTACCCCCGTTCCCCTCGTCTGTCTCCTCTTTGTTAGTCAGCGCCACCTCGTTCTCGTAACAGAAGGAGTTGGAGCTGGAAAGGATGTATCTTTTCTCGGCCAGGTCTCTGGCGCTGCACAACGGAGTGCTGGGCACCTCGTAAGTCTTATGAAAACGAGAGTAGTCCACCTTGTAGTAGCTCTTCTCCTCGAAGAGCACCGGCTCGAAGCGGTGGCCCCAGAGGATCTCGCTGGCCAGGTAGGAGCTGCGGCACTGGGTGGTCATGGCCGTGGCTTCCACCATCCCCTCCAGGATCACCACGATCTCAAACTCGGACGTCTCCAGCTGTTGCTTGCTCATGTCATAGAATGGGCTGTCCTCGCTGATCTCGTGGACGATGGTGATGGGGGACACCAGGAAGATACGGTCGACTCCACTGTCGAAGCCTACGTCGATGTCCACCTGGTCCAGAGGGATGAACTCCCCCTCTGCCGTGGTGCGCGACTTGAGGAGCTGTGCCCGGACGTGGGCCTCCACCAGGTGGCTTTTCCTCAGGTTCCCCACGCGCCACATTAGACACAGCTTGTTGTCCCTCATGGCCACTGTAGCGTTGTGGCTGAACACCAGCGTCTCGTTCCTCTTCTTGGGCTTGGCCATCTTGGCCATGACGGCGCCGATGATGAAGGCGTCGATGATGCAGCCCACAATGCTCTGGAAGACCACCATGAAGACTGCTACCGGACACTCGTCAGTGACGTAGCGGTAGCCGTAGCCGATGGTGGTCTGGGTCTCGATGGAGAAGAGGAAGGCTGCGGTAAAACTGCTCACGTTGGAGACGCACTTCTGGGCGTCGTTCTCCAGGTCCCCGTGGAAGATGGCGACCAGCCAGAAGACACAGCCGAAGAACAGCCACGACAGGAGGAACGCCAGGCAGAAGATGACGAACATCCACCGCCAGCGGATGTCCACGCATGTCGTGAAGATGTCGGCGAGATAGCGCTGGCCCTTCTCAGAGACATTGATGAACTGTACATTGCAGTGACCATCCTTCTTGACGAAGCGGCTCTGGGGCTGGTGCCTCGTGTGCACCTTGCCCTTGCCGTTCCCGTACCCGTTGGGCACCGCCACGGTGGCCAACTTCATGCCGTTCTCCTCGGATGACACTATGCTGTAGCGGTTGGCTCGCACACTTCCCATCACCTCGTTCTGGTGGGAGGGCTGCGGCGCTGCTTCTGCTTTGGAAAACAGTCTGAGTTTTTGGAAAAAGCGTTGGAGAAACAGTTTTGAAACTCTAAGGGGGACCAACTCAAGCAGGAAATGGGGTGGTGAAGTGAGGCGGACAGGGGGACAGAGGGAGGAGGAGACAGAGCCTCTCTCTCTCTCGGTCCTCGACGGCCTCTGGTATCCGCAGGGCTGAGGATGATGAGTTGATCAGTGCTCTCTCATCGGGCGGCCGGACCTCAGCAATGACGTATGCTGAGGGAAAAATAGATAGAGAGAAAGGTGTTAGACCTACTGACGGTGTCAAAGAACGGATACAGAGGTAAAAATCAATTAATAATGATACGAGTCATGATAAAAGCGATATGAACCCAATGTCCTTATTTAAAAGGTAACAGCTTCCAATCTGAACTCTGTACATGAAATAGTCACCAACTGTCATGGATTATTATTTCATTATCCCATCCATTTCTCTGTAGTGTGCGCAGCCTGAGAAAACCATCAAATACTGTATACCCAAGGGCAAGATTAAGCACGTCTCCTCATGCCAACATTTCATTCAGTTATGATAAAATAACAGCTGTATTCAACCCCAATCCTGACTTTTCCACTCTCTACTGAGAGAGGTCACAGAGTAACAGGAGTAAGGTCCCACTGATGGTCATTCACAAAGCATACTTGTTTTTGTTGGCCACAGAGTGTCGACAAGATAATTTCTTGTTGGATTGTGGGTTACGGTGTTTCTACGGGATCCCATGGACTCTGTTTCTTCTGACTCTGTTTTTCAAGTTCTTGAACTACCGTTACTGTTAACTGACGACTGATCATCCTCGGATGCACATATCACTTTCAATATTTTATATTTACCAGCACATCAGACATTTGTTGCAACATGGAAGAGGAAATAAGTCTTGTTAAAGCAGAAAATGAACGATTGCCTTCAGTTTAATATTGCTTTACAAGTAGGCCTGTCACCTGTCAAGTAGGCCCGTCACTTCCACTCTGTGAAATAGGGTTGTCAGTAGGCCCGTCACCTGTCAAGTAGGCCCGTCACTTCCACTCTGTGAAGTGCGGTTGTCAGTAGGCCCGTCACCTGTCAAGTAGGCCCGTCACTTCCACTCTGTGAAATAGGGTTGTCAGTAGGCCCGTCACCTGTCAAGTAGGCCCGTCACTTCCACTCTGTGAAATAGGGTTGTCAGTAGGCCCGTCACCTGTCAAGTAGGCCCGTCACTTCCACTCTGTGAAATAGGGTTGTCAGTAGGCCCGTCACCTGTCAAGTAGGCCCGTCACTTCCACTCTGTGAAATAGGGTTGTCAGTAGGCCCGTCACCTGTCAAGTAGGCCCGTCACTTCCACTCTGTGAAGTAGGGTTGTCACGATAGTAAGGTTGTCACAATACCAGTATCGCAATACTACGATACCAAATATTTCATGGATAAAACTCTTTGGTCCTTTAAGAAACCTACTGTATGTAACATATTGTGTGCTATAGCTTGGAAAATAAACATGTGATTCTGGGTGACACATAAGGCTGCCCGTTTCCAACATTAGGACGTTTTCCTCAGGAAATGTTGTCCTCTTAATGTTTTGTTTCCTTGCCACGATACCTCTGAGTATCGCAATACTTTTATAGTGACAACCCTACTGTGAAGACGGTCTTACTGTCTGCCACACCAGCCTGTTTGTCACATTGCACGGTGCATGCACCAATCCTCCTGCCTCATTGCTCACTGGTGCATTCTTAATGTCCATTTTCACATACCTTGCTAATCACAACCATAGACATTAAAACCAGTAGATAGTTATAGCGCTGACGTCATCCACGTATTCCAATTGAAAACTCCCGTTGGCTCATGAAGCTAGAAGTATTTGAATTTGAAGCGTGCCATATTGCTGAATGGGGCTGAATGGCAAAAAATATATATATTGCTAAGGATCATGGTCAAAGTGGACGTAAGTAACAATGGATCATGGTCGATGTAGTCGTTTTCATCCTGCATGAGAGAGTCAACCCAACGCTGCTAGATGACTTCGGCATCAATAACGAAAGCCCCATAGTCATTGGTTAGCCCCTCCATCTCCACTTGAGAGGCTCGTTGACTCTACACTCTCATCTGGATAGCACATCACACCCCCTTAGGCGCACGTGTAAAGTGTGTGCATGAGGGCGCGAACCTCCTCGTAGCCTGCCAGCCAGTGATTGGTCTGTGTCAGCACGTGGTCCTGTGTGACAACAAATGTAGTAGTCAGAATGGATCACTATTTAATTAAATATCTCGATTTGTAGCGAACTTTAAAATAATTCACCGTGGGGATTTAACTTGATCATAATAAACTAATTTTAGAGGCCAAAACGTCTGTAAACATTTTTTATTGATTGGCTGTGCGATCGTAATTTACATAGGCTTTCTAGGGCAGACCAGGGCTTTTGGCACCGTTAGGTTGCTATGCAGTAGCTGACCAGCAGAGCTTGTGACTTCACGCTTCAGACCGGACACTTGTGGCCTGATCACAACTCTGGAAAGATGACTGTACCACATCTTTGGGCCAACCGACCAAACTAGCTATTTTTTTAATGTCAATTATTAGGGTTCTGAAAACATTTTAAGGCTCAAGCTTGGTGTTTTCAGGTCGTAATGAGGTGTTTTTAATGGGGTATTAGTGGTACAAAAATAACAGTTATTCCATTTGCTGTATGACTTAATTACACAAATGTTTGTGGAGACTTTCCGATTAGTGATACTTAAAATTAAACAAGGACCCATACATACATTCATATAGGCCTACATGCATAGATGCATACTGTACATATACGTATTATAATGTGCATAAATGAATATGAAACATATATTTGTTTTATGGGGGAATGTGAACATAAAAGTGTACACAGTATCTCTCTTTCTCTTGCTCATGGGTGCATTTGAGGGCATCAACGTAGCTTGTTGACTCACAGAGTCCTCCGGGACTTCATCTTCTCTCAGCAGCAAAATGGCGGTCCTGTGAGGGTTCTGACTCTGACACTACTGTAACACCTTCCTGCCTGGGTCTACTCTGTTACACATGTCCTAGACCTCACTGTGCTAGCAACCAACCATGGTTGCAATGAACATTGTGAACTCTTGTGTTATGTTTGGTTGGGGTCTTTCATTTCCAAGAAATGTATTGAATTTAGTAAAGACTTTTGGGAGATTTGATGATATGAGAGTCAATGATGAAAAGGGACGTGAGGGCGTTAGGAAAATATATATTTTTTCTTTGTGTTCCCTTGCAATACTTAAAATCGCCAAATATAATTACTTTCACTCAGAGTAAACCCATCAGAGATGTGTAGCTATGATTAGATTACAGTCTCTCTTAAGTCAATTTACAAACATGTATCTAGTGTGTAGACTGCCTTCAGATATTTCCTTTCATGTTTGTAAGTTGTAAAATGAGTTTAAAGATGGAATCCTCAGTAGTGGAAACAGCGCCACTGTCCGCCCCATTGTTTTGTTGACGAAGCAGAGCTGGGGAGCGTTGTGCATCAAGGTAAAAAAAAAAAGCTGTACATATGCTTCTGTTCTATAATGCTTGCAATGATTGTCTGAGGGAGAAAAAAAAAATGTTTTCGTTGTTTGCGGTAACCTCTTTCTTGTTGTAATATCGCAAACGGACGTGGACATTTCACTATTAAGGATTCTATCTTTAAAGTGTGATATCAGCTCCTAGAATTAGTACTAAAATATTTAAATTTGATCTAAAATAGCATATAGGTGGTGAGTGGAGTCAAGAGCAACTCTGTCATCAAACTTGGGCACTATTTGGGGAATTTGGGGAATTATGCATTGTTGGCAGTAATCAGTAATGAGACATGCAAAGTCAGTCAGCATTACAACCTCTCCTCAATTAATATCAATTAGGATGACTGTCTGGTTTACACAATACTTGATTAATAGGACATTTTGTGTCGAAATTTTATAGAAATTGATATGGCTATGTTTTGTTTTGTTTCCTGTTTATTTAGATTTTGTGGGTTGAGAGGACCCTTAATTTTGTATTGGCTTTTCAGAACATCAATAGATGCTAAACAGCGATTTTCCTATCTGTTTCTATGGCACCATGATAACAGAATGGAAAAGTATAACTGTCTATTATTCTATTACAGACCCTTTTTAATCAGTTGGATAATTATGCTTTGTGGAAAATTGAATCCCTCTGATCTTTGATTGAATCAATACTCCTGGACTGGCCTAATCTGAGAGATTGATAAATAGTGCCAACATTCACTGGAAACAATGTTATGGTTGAAGTTTTTCTGCAGAAACAGAATTTATGGTAACCCTGATCTACTGCCAGCGCACAGTCGTTCACGGGCGCCTTAGGGATGTCTTGCAAATGTTACAGAGCTACGTCTGCGACTACAATTTTTTTTTTTTTACAATATCTAATTTATGACGACCTTTTTAGCATACAATAAAATATGTCTCCACAGCCAGGCTCCAAGCGGCACTCGAAATGCGGCATATGCCAACAACAAATGCGAACAGGTGCGCCCTAAAAAATGGAACCAACTGCGTCTTTCAAACATTCAATTCAGACAAGTTATAACTGTAGGCCTACATGCATATATGTTTACATGGATAATAGGGGCCTATGACTTGCACTCATTGCATGGCAAATGTAATTTTTTTTGTTTTAGCCTATATTTGTAAGAAGTGTAGCCTATTGCATCATACATGTATGAATCAGCCCAAGCATAAACATGACATGTTTATCGCACTTAAACGTGTTGTTTTGGGTTTCAATAGTTTTATAAAATGATTTAAAATTATAAACGATGAATAGCAGTTATATTCTCTGCAAGCTACCAGCCACAGTGGGTATGACTTTGTCGTGTAAATCGCCCGTATCCCAACTCCCCCCGCGCCGCGCATCCATTCAAGTGCTCGCACTCCAAGCGCCACTGTTCCACGCTTTTCAAATAGGCCTAGAGATAAAATAAAATAAACCGTAGTCTATTGAGTTGGCTAATAGTTATGTAATAGACACCAGTATTCTTCCATGTCATGCATTCAGCATCATCAACTTCCCAATAAGTTTGATACAAATTGCTAGAAAGAGGTTTTTAAACCTACCAGTTGCTCATTTGTAGACCGGAACAAAATCAACGGATAGTTGAAATTATATTCCAGAAGTTATGTTCTCTGGTATCCACACTTTTCAAAGCGTTTGTTACTGTTTTTAAGTAGTTGCCTTGTTGTGATGACAGCAATAACCGAAACCCCCTCATGTCACTGAAATGACTGGTCTTGATAATGTGCTTAGCAAATAGTTCGCCAGAGCAATTTAAATAGCGTATACCGGCATGCTCCGCCTTCTGGTCCATACCCAGCCAATAGTATTACAGAGAGGAAAACGCGCTCATATAGTCGGTTGATAAATTTACTCAGCTGTATGAAACGTGTGTGAAAATTCATAGACTACGGACTGAACGTGGTGTTTGGGGAGACATGTCAGGGGTTTGGAGAGGGTGGGAGGGGGGTCATTTTAGGCTGGACACAGGAACATAATTTCCCCCAAAGGGTATCTTTTTATAGTCTAAACCCCCCGCGGGGACAAGTTATAAAACTCTCCAAAATGCTCACCAATGTTCAGGCAATACTGTTAGGTTACTGTCCAAGAGTAAAGAGTTGTTAGAAATTATTAAAATGAATCAAACTTTTTATCGCTCTGTTGGCTTCAAAAGTGCCCATTACCTAAACACAGGCTGAAACAGTTATCCCACCTGAAGATATTCCCCTACATTTGCCCCTCTCAATAAAATATACTTAGGCCTACTTAAAAAATATGCTTAAATATACATTATTCTTTATCTGTTTATCTAGGATATTTCCATGGTGTCTATAGCCTATGGTAAAATGCAAATGTATTTTGTAGGAAAAAGTTGTTCTAACTTCCAATGTTATATTTTGGTTATCTTCCTCCACTATAAAAGTTCTGAGGATGTTTATGCATCAAAAGTTTAATTTTAGGTCAAGATCTGTCTGTCTCGCTCCACAGCTGTTTCAGTTGGATGCCATGAGAGCAGGATGCTTACTAATGATAAGCTCTGACCCATAGCCTACCTCCTTTTCTGCACACTTTGAACTGCTTATTTGTGCTACATGTCAGTGGCTCTATTAATAGCAGGTCATATATTTAGCTACCCGAACATGCTGTGTGAGTTCTGAGTTGGCCATCGGCGCTCACCATATGTTTGCTTTTCATGCCCAATGACAAACGGTAATGCTGCTCTCGGCCACAAGGCGGAGAGCAAGAGACTGATATTGGAACATGATTGGTCCACACACGAGCTCTCCTGTGAAGCTGTGGGGAGAAAGTATGAGTGAGCAACATGGAGAGATGTCCATCAACTTTCATCCACTCCATGTGTGTGCCCTATGACCTCTCATATGATTGTCCTATGATATTGGGTAAGTAGGCCTATCAATCTCAATGTTCAGCTTGCTGTATATGAGCCATCATGACAGTGTAGTTACAGTAACTGCTTTAGAAGTTACACCACATGTGTTGTATGTCTTGGACAATATCATCGATTTTTAAAACACATTATACTGCCTTAATGACATTATGGCTTTAAACATCCCTGTAAAATCAAAGCAACTGAAATTCACATGCAGAGACAGTGTGATCTGCTTTCTTCACACCAAAGTTCCCTTGTCATTCCTCTCCTTTGTTCTTACAGACATGGACCAGATACATCAGATGCCAGGTGCTGCACTGCCACCAATGACATGGAGGTGGGTACTGTAAATGCCAGGTATTGGGCTTCAGGGTATTGGGCTGTAGTGTGGGTCCAGTGGAAAGAGGCATGCCAGTCTAACAGGTGTTTACACTGCAGTGACCACAATATGTCCCTAAATAAAAATATACCCACCTAATTCCAAGTTAACTAATACTGATGATTTTATAGTAACATATTAAGAGACAAAGTAACATGAGTCATGATTATTACTACTTTCTGCATATTCAATAACATTTACATTTAGTCACTCATGATACACTGATGATTGATTTGTCAATGATGAAACAAACAACAAAACACCCCCACCTTCAGTACATCTACATCTAGTACAAATAAAAATAGTACACAGCAAATACTCCAGTATTGAATCAACAGAGTGTTACATTTAACACTTTTCCAGAGTCTATACAGGTCCACACTTTTCAGTTTAAATTAACACACTGCTTAGTGTAAAGCCTTATTTGCGTATTTCCCAGTGTGCCTTTCGAGTGAAATGTAGAGTTACCACCCATTAATATATTTGTTAGTGACAGAGACATGGTTGTTGCATTCATTCATTTTCAGTCCTGTGGCTTTCACCAAGTGACGTCCTGAGCAAATATGTTATCATTCAAATTTGATTTTTAAGACAATACATATTTCAAAAGGCTTTATTTTGAGGGCCTAGTTTTCCCTAATACAATGGCCTGAAACTCATGGTTTACAATCCACATTAGGAATGCATGTCACATTATGCTGGCTTGCGAATTTGAATGCAGCCAGAGTGGGGATATCCAACATTTGTTATTTTTATTCACCTGCAACCCGCATTTAGAATGACTACCTAAAGCATCTAGAGCATCTATGAGACTACCTAAAGCATCTAAACTGGAACAACCATTTCAGTAACAGGTGCAATAAATCTAAGTTACAGATTGAATTAGTTTAGAAAAATGTTATTTATATTTGAGTAGCATAAGATTAATTAATCAATCAATGTACATGCACAAACATAGATATTGAAACAAACAATTATAAAAATCATTCTGCAATAGAGCATGCTGGTAAATATGATAATGATGGATGTGGTTTTGGTTCATCTCTGGTTATTAACACCAACACTGGGATTATTTCACACCACTGAGTTTTAATTGAACGCTTACATAGTTAATTTAACTCCTGAATCAACACTAGAAATGGTACACTGAAAAATCAACACTAATTAACACTGGCCAATTTGCTGTGTAGTGAATAGGGGAGATATTTTAATGATCAGTGTATAAATGCAACAGACGTAAATGTGTATTAAACACAGCGTATGTACAAAAGTAGTTTTAAACTAACCACACAACAAGCAAAACACTTTATTCTGCTGTCCTCAACATTTCTGGAATGTGTTGGTACGTCATTGTGTTCAGCATACTCACATACAGTGCTGTCAGAGAGTATTCACACTCCTTGACTTGTTCCACATTTTCTGTTACAGTCTGAATTTAAAATGAATTAAATTTAGATTTTGTGTCACTACACACAATACCCCATAATGTCAAAGTGGAATTATGTTTCTAAAAATGTTTACAAATTAATTAAAAATGAAAAGCTGAATTGTCTTGAATCAAAAAGTGTTCAACCCCTTTGTTATGGCAAGCCTAAATAAGTTCAGGAGTAAAAAAGTTGCTTAACAAGTCACATAATAAGTTGCATGGGCTCACTCTGTGTGCAATAATAGTGTTTAACATGATTTCTGAATGACCACCTCAAAGACCAGGGAAGTTTTCAAATGCTTCGCAAAGAAGGGCATCTATTGGTAGATAGGTAAAAATACAAAAAAGCAGACATTGAATATCCCTTTGAGCATGGTGAAGTTATTAATTACACTTTGGATGGTGTATCAATATACCCATTCACTACAAAGATACAGGCATCCTTCCTAACTCAGTTGCCGGAGAGGAAGGAAACCGCTCAGGGATTTCACCATGAGGGCAATGGAGACTGTAAAACAGTTACAGAGTTTAATGGCTGTGATAGGAGAAAACTGAGGATGGATCAACATCATTGTAGTTACTCCACAATACTAACCTAAATGACAGAGTGAAAAGAAGAAAGCCTGTACAGGATACAACTATTTCAAAACATGTATCATGTTTGCAATAAAAAATGTGTCCTGAATACAAAGCATTATGTTTGGGACAAATCCAACACAACACATCACTGAGTACCACTCTTCATATTTTCAAGCATGTTGGTGGCTGCATCATGTTATGGGTATGCTTGTCATCGGCAATGACTAGGGAGTTTTTTTAGGATAAAAAGAAACGGAATAGAGCACAGATAAAATCCTAGAGGAAAACCTGGTTCAGTCTGCTTTCCAAAAGACACTGGGAGACAAATTCACCTTTCGGCAGGACAATAACCTAAAACACAGCCAAATATACACTGGAGTTGTTTACCAAGATGACATTGAATGTTCCTTTGTGGACTAGTTACAGTTTTGACTTAAATCGGCTTGGAAATCTATGGCAAGATTTGAAATGGCTGTGTAGCAATGATCAACAACCAACTTGACAGAGCTTGAAGAATAAATAAAATAAAAATGTGCAAATATTGTACAATAAGGTGTGCAAGCTCTTATAGACTTACCCAGAAAGACTCACAGCTGTAATCGCAGCCAAAGGTGATTTTAACATGTATTGACTCAGGGGTGTGAATACTTATGTAAATGAGATATTTTTGTATTTCATTTCAAATAAAGTTGCAAACATTTCTAAAAACATGTTTTCACTTTGACATTATGGGGTATTGTGTGTAGATGGGCAAGAATTGTTTTCTTTAATCCATTTTGAATTCAGGCTGTAACACAACAAAATGTGGAATAAGTCAACGGGTATTTTACAACGCTCTCACAAAATAACACCTCAAAACATATTCTTAAAATAAATTAGTCTCTATACAGTACTTTCTGTTGTAGATAACAGTATAAAGTTACCATAACCTCTCCCAAAAATCATGATTATCTTATTTTTATTCATTTTCTCTTTGATTTCAGTAGCCTATTTATCATATTGAGGAGCAGACATTGTAATATTGTTTGTATTATATTGTGACTCCACCATAGATACTTTTAATGCAAGCAACATGACAGCAGAAGTTTCCAAGTTTTTGTGTGTGTGTGTGTGAGGGGAGGGGGGGGGGGGGGGGGGGGGGGGGGGTTACTTCCTGCAAGCAAATTCCACTAAGAACACACCACCATGCCAGCCTGCACAAAATGCCTGCCTGCTCTTACTGTTGCCTGTGCAGAAATTATCAAATTGTCCTTGAGTTCATTTGTTTCTGAATGGCCATTGGCCAGCTTCAATGAAATTGTGTTGGCATCGTCATGTCAGAATGGGGTTCCTTAGAAGACACAAATGTCCGTGATCGTCGCAAACTGGTGCGATAGTAGCAACCGTGGCTACATGTACCTCAGGTTCTAGGGTGCCATTCACCAGTCGGGGGTTTGCGATTAATGCATGGGCATTTGGGGCACGGGGAGTGACGTGGGGAACACCAAAACCTTTTTGCTCGTACTCCTCCGCACTGACCTCCGGAACCAGGACCTTAGTAGTTTGGTGGAACATGGAGTAGTCTACCTTGTAGTATCTCCGGTTTACATTCAGCATCTCTTGGAACAGATGTCCCCAGTGGATCTCGTCGGGCGTGTAGGAGGTGCGGGTCTGGTGCAGGATGCCCGTCGAGTCGTCTGTGTAGGTGAAGGACACCACTAGCTCAAAGTCGTCTTTCCGAAGCTCCTCTAGGCTTATGCGGTAGAGTGGACTACTGGGCTCAATAATGTGGAAGATGGTGGTTGGTATCGCTAAAATGATATCACTCTGTTTGATTTCCAGGTCCTTGTAGTGGACGTCCTCCCTGCCCGTGGCGTGCATGTTGGGGCGGAAGATTTGGGCGCGGGCCTTCCCCTCCACCATGTGGTGCCGGCGGAAGTCCCCGATCCTCCAAGACAGGCACAACTGCCTGTTTTGCAAGTTAATGACGGCGCAGTTGCTGAAGCCCACCGTCTGCGCCCGTTTCCGTGCCGATGCCATCTTCGCCACAGCAATACCGATGATAAACGTATCAATAAAACAGCTGATGACGTCCTGCACTGTCACAATGATGATGGCCACCATGCAGTTCTCCGACATCCCTCTAAAACCATAACCGATCGTGGTCTGGGTCTCCAGTGAGAAGAGGAATGCCCCAGTGAAGTCCCTCACCTCGTACACACAGGGGGCATTATTAGGGTCCTTCATGTCTCCGTTAGCTATGGCAATCACCCAATAGAGGATGCCGAAGAAGAGCCAGGAGAAGATGTAGGAGAGGGCGAAGATGAGGAACATGACACGCCACCTGATCTCCACCAGCGTGGTGAAGATGTCTGTGACGTACATGAGGCACTCCTCAGGAACATGGCGGAACAGGACATTGCACTTGCCATCTTTGCGGACGTAACGACACTTCTTGTGCTTGGAGTCGAACTCGGCCTTCACCCCGGACAGGGTGGTGGTGTAGGTGTCGACGGAGGGATCATAGGGACTGACCTCGGTGTACTCTTTGTTCATCCTGTAAGATCTGGGAATAAGAGAGATAGGAAAATAATGTTCAGTGATTGTATTATCTACTGTAAAACACTGAAAATGTCACTGTTATGAATTGTAGTCTCTAGATCCGGTGGCCAAGCCAAGATTTGGTTCTGGGTCCCGAAATTATGAATTAAGAATTAAACAAACATACAAAATATCTGAACAAATATATTTACTAGAGTATGGTGGTATTTGAAGGACAACAGCAAACTCCGTCCAGATACACCCACATTGTTTGTTGGTGGGTCATGGGAATTTTGAGTGTGGATTGGAGTTGGGTGTTTGTGTGTTAGGGAGGAGAACACTCATGGGGAGAGGTTGTGCCATTCCATCATTATAATGGAACGTTTCTGCGATTGGAAACAACTTGATGGTGATTTGAGAGACTTCTCTCTGAGGTTTACTGGCAATAAACTGTTTAGACGGAGAGCAGTTGAGTTGAGATGTGGTTGTTCTCTCTCTGACCCCAAATTGGTAATGATTTCAAAGAGACATTGTCTATCAAGCAGTAACAGTTTTTTTTATGAACCTTTTGGAAGCAAAAAAGTGTGATGGTCCGCACTCAAAAATAAGTTGCATAAAGATGACTTCAATTTTAGATTTTTCGAAATACTTACTTTCAATGATAGCTGTAAAAGCATTAAGTCTATTGTCAACACTGGCTTATACTATCTATCACCAGACACCTCGTTCAATTCTGACTTTCAGAATCGACCCTTATTTAACTAAAAACGATCTAGAAATCTGTCAAACATGTTGGTGAAATCTGATGTACAGTATGTCATCAATAATGATGAGTGAGAAAGTTACAGACACACAAATATCATACACCCAAGACATGCATTACAATAGCAGGGATTATTTGGAAGGGTATGATATTTGTGCGTCTGTAACTTTCTCACTCATCATTATTCATGATTCATTCAGGACTATCCGTAATCATTGTAGCATCCACATTAACGTAGAAGTGCTTAGAAACATATCTATACTTATTTACAATAAAAATCACTCCAAAATGACACAATACATTATTTACCTTTAATTTCTATTGGGCACTAAATGATCTGAAACACAACCAAAACAAACAGCAAACGCATCCATCAAGTTTATAGAGTCACAAGCTTGATGTAATCATTGCGTGCTAGGAATATGGGACCAAATACAAAACTTTTGACTACTTTAATACACATACGTACAAGTGAATTTGTCCCAATACTGTACGTTGGGTCCCCTAAAATGTAGGGACTATGTACAAAAAGTGCTGTAATTTCTAAACGGTTAATCCGATATGGATGAACATTTACTCAAATTAAAGCTGACAGTCTGCACTCTAACCTCATAATCATTAAATAATTTCAAATCCAAAGTGCTGGAGTACAGAGCCAAAACAACAACAAAATTGTCACTGTCCCAATACTTTTGGAGCTCACTGTTTATCCCTCTTTGCCGCACATGACCACACAACTGGCCAGTAGTCCAGGTACGACAAAACTAGGGCCTGTAGGAACTGTCTGGTCGACTGAGATGTCAAGAAAAGTATCATTCCTGATTAGATGCCTCTGCTGCTCACCGGTTCCCAATAAATGCTGTTTTGAATGAAAAAGATGTGTACCTACACACTGAGGAAGGCTACAAAACCGAAATGTCTGTGTACGCTATCCCTGATGCAGTGAAATGTCTGTGTACGCTATCCCTGATGCAGTGAAATGTCTGTGTACGCTATCCCTGATGCAGTGAAATGTCTGTGTACGCTATCCCTGATGCAGTGAAATGTCTGTGTACGCTATCCCTGATGCAGTGAAATGTCTGTGTACGCTATCCCTGATGCAGTGAAATGTCTGTGTACGCTATCCCTGATGCAGTGAAATGAAAATAAATGTCTGTGTACGCTATCCCTGATGCAGTGAAATGAAAATAAATGTCTGTGTACGCTATCCCTGATGCAGTGAAATGAAAATAAAATAAAAAATGAAGTAAGCTTTATGCTACATCTTTTTGAGTGCGGACTCATCACACATTTTGCTTATTTGAAGTTACGGGTTTTACACAACAACCAAACTTTTGGGAGAGCGCGATGGTCCTCTTTAGATTAGTTATTAAAAGAGTCTACGCAGGAGGGGTCCTACTAAGCTAACATATGGAATTGATTTCAGCTGGTCATACCAAGGATCATTTAGCTATTTGATTTAGAATTTTAAATCAAATCAAATCAATCAAATTTGATTGGCCACATGCGCCGAATACAACAGGTGCAGACATTACAGTGAAATGCTTACTTACAGCCCTTAACCAACAGTGCATTTATTTTTAACAAAAAAGTAAAAATAAAACAACAACAAAAAAAGTGTTGAGAAAAAAAAGAGCAGAAGTAAAATAAAATAACAGTAGGGAGGCTATATATACAGGGGGGTACCGGTGCAGAGTCAATGTGCGGGGGCACCGGCTAGTTGAGGTAGTTGAAGTAATATGTACATGTGGGTAGAGTTAAAGTGACTATGCATAAATAATTAACAGAGTAGCAGCAGCGTAAAAGGATGGGGTGGGGGGGCAGTGCAAATAGTCTGGGTAGCCATGATTAGCTGTTCAGGAGTCTTATGGCTTGGGGGTAGAAGCTGTTGAGAAGTCTTTTGGACCTAGACTTGGCACTCCGGTACCGCTTGCCGTGCGGTAGCAGAGAGAACAGTCTATGACTAGGGTGGCTGGAGTCGTTGACAATTTTGAGGGCCTTCCTCTGACACCGCCTGGTATAGAGGTCCTGGATGGCAGGAAGCTTGGCCCCAGTGATGTACTGGGCCGTACGCACTACCCTCTGTAGTGCCTTGCGGTCGGAGGCCAAGCAGTTGCCATACCAGGCGGTGATGCAACCAGTCAGGATGCTCTCGATGGTGCAGCTGTAGAATTTTTTTGAGGATCTGAGGACCCATGCCAAATCTTTTCAGTCTCCTGAGGGGGAATAGGCTTTGTCGTGCCCTCTTCACGACTGTCTTGGTGTGTTTGGACCATGATAGTTTGTTGGTGATGTGGACACCAAGGAACTTGAAGCTCTCAACCTGTTCCACTACAGCCCCGTCGATGAGAATGGGGGCGTGCTCAGTCCTCTTTTTTTTCCTGTAGTCCACAATCATCTCCTTTGTCTTGGTCACGTTGAGGGAGAGGTTGTTTTTATCCTGGCACCACACGGCCAGGTCTCTGACCTCCTCCCTATAGGCTGTCTCATCGTTGTCGGTGATCAGGCCTACCACTGTTGTGTCGTCGGCAAACTTAATGATGGTGTTGGAGTCGTGCCTGGCCATGCAGTCATGGGTGAACAGGGAGTACAGGAGGGGACTGAGCACGCACCCCTGAGGGGACCCCCGTGTTGAGGATCAGTGTGGCAGATGTGTTGTTACCTACCCTTACCACCTGGGGGCGGCCCGTCAGGAAGTCCAGGATCCAGTTGCAGAGGGAGGTGTTTAGTCCCAGGATCCTTATCTTAGTGTTGAGCTTTGAGGGCACTATGGTGTTGAATGCTGAGCTGTAGTCAATGAATAGCATTCTCACGTAGGTGTTCCTCTTGTCAGGTGGGAAAGGGCAGTGTGGAGTTCAATAGAGATTGCATCATCTGTGGATCTGTTGGGGCGGTATGCAAATTGGAGTGGGTCTAGGGTTTCTGGGATAATGCTGTTGATGTGAGCCATGACCAGCCTTTCAAAGCACTTCATGGCTACAGACGTCATTGCTACTGGTCGGTAGTCATTTAGGCAGGTTATCTTAGAGTCCTTGGGCACGGGGACTATGGTGGTCTGCTTGAAACATGTTGGTATTACAGACTCAGTCAGGGACATGTTGAAAATGTCAGTGAAGACACTTGCCAGTTGGTCAGCACATGCTCGGAGTACACGTCCTGGTAATCCATCTGGCCCTGCGGCCTTGTGAATGTTGACCTGCTTAAAAGTCTTACTTACATCGGCTTTGGAGAGCGTGATCACATAGTCATCCGGAACAGCTGGTGCTCTCATGCATGCTTCAGTGTTGCTTGCCTCGAAGCGAGCATAGAAGTGGTTTAGCTCGTCTGGAAGTCTTGTGTCACTGGGCAGCTCGCGGCTGTGCTTCCCTTTGTAGTCTGTAATAGTTTTCAAGCCCTGCCACATCCGACGAGCGTCAGAGCCAGTGTAGTACGATTCAATCTTAGTCCTGTATTGACTCTTTGCCTGTTTGATGGTTCGTCAGAGGGCATAGCGGGATTTCTTATAAGCGTCCGGGTTAGAGTCCCGGTCCTTGAAAGCGGCAGCTCTACCCTTTAGCTCAGTGCGGATGTTTCCTGTAATCCATGGCTTCTGGTTGGGGTATGTACGTACGGTCACTGTGGGGACGACATCATCGATGCACTTATTGATGAAGCCAGTGACTGATGTGGTGTACTCCTCAATGCTATCTGAAGAATCCCGGAACATGTTCCAGTCTGTGCTAGCAAAACAGTCCTGTAGCTTAGCATCTGCGTCATCTGACCACTTTTTTATTAACCGAGTCACTGGTGCTTCCTGCTTTAGTTTTTGCTTATAAGCAGGAATCAGGAGGATAGAGTTATGGTCAGATTTGCCAAATGGAGGGCGAGGGAGAGCTTTGTATGCGTCTCTGTGTGTGGAGTAAAGGTGGTCTAGAGTTTTTTTTCCTCTGGTTGCACATTTAACATGCTGGTAGAAATTAGGTAGAACGGATTTAAGTTTCCCTGCATTAAAGTCCCCGGCCACTAGGAGCGCTGCATCTGGCTGAGCGTTTTCCTGTTGATTTATGGCCTTATACAGCTCATTCAGTGCAATCTTAATGCCAGCATTGGTTTGTGGTGGTAAATAGACAGCTATGAAAAATATAGATGAAAACTCTCTTGGTAAATAGTGTGGTCTACAGCTTATCATAAGATACTCTACCTCAGGCGAGCAAAACCTCGAGACTTCCTTAGTATTTGATTTTGTGCACCAGCTGTTGTTTACAAATATACA